GGTGCATTCTTTGAGGAAGCTTTGTCCAGTTACCATAAATGACTTGCTTTTTGTTGGTGGGCGACTTATTTACGCAAACTACTCATCCCATTTCAAGCATTCGGTGATCCTACCCAATCGACATCATGTGACTGATCTGATTATTTGCCACTATCATAGCAGAGAAGGACATGGTGGTACGTCATACGTTTTGTCAGCGATCCGTGAAAAATATTGGATTGTCAAGGGAATCAGTGCAGTGAAGCGAGTAATAGGTCAATGCATAGTATGTCGGAAAATGGTAGCTCCTGCACGTCAGCAGATGATGGCTCCCCTACCGCTATGTAGGGTCCAAAAGGGTTGGTACTGTTTTAACTCAGAAGGAGTTGATTATTTTGAACCTCTGTTTGTTCGCAAGGGTCATGGTTTGGAAAAGAAATATGGCTGCTTGTTTACGTGTTTACAGACCCGAGCCGTGCACTTAGAGATAGCGCTCAGTCTCAATACAGATTCGTTTATCTTGTGTCTATTGAGATTCATCGGTAGACGAAGAAGACCTTCAGAGATTTCTAGTGATATCGGATCAAGTTCCGTGGGTGCCGTATCAGAACGATTGGATACAATTAAACGCTGGGATGGACACAAGATTAACGACCGTTTTGCATGTGATGGAATAAAATGTTCCTTAACCCTCCTTCCTCAAGTCATAGGGAGACGTATGGGAGAGAATGATCCGCTCCGTGCGCAGGTTACTGCTTATGTTGACAATGGAGCAGTTAATGCATGAGGAAAAGTTGTCAACTTGTTTTGTAGAAATCGAAAGGATATTGAATAGCCGGCCGCTAGTGCCGTGCTTATCAGATGATAAGGAAAGAAGAGCATTGTCTCCGAACAGTTTATTGTTGTTGGAGAACGATCGAAACCTAGGTCTCACAATGATGGAGAGTTATACAAGACGGTGGAGAGAAGTCAACCACTTTGCTACTAACTTCTGGCGGCGATGGATGAGGGAGTATATACCAACCCTGCAAGTGCGACAAAAGTGGCTTTCGAAGCATTGCAATTTCAAATCAGGCGACATCGTATTGATAGCATCTGAAAGCACAACACGCTGCAAATAGCCCATGGGCATGATCGATGCTGTCGAGAGGTATGACTGCCTTATATATTTGTAATTAATGCGAAAATAGTACCGTAGATTATTTTTGGATCGACTTGGTTCTCGATAATTTGGGCTACGCGTTGCTCTGAGATTTGGTTATCGCTAGCCAGAACGAGCGAAGAATCATTTGATTGAACGCATACAGATGAGGTCTTTTTCGTTTCGCTCGGACCAGGACAATCGCGTTTTGGTCGTTACAGCATGTGTCTTAACGAAACCATTATAGAGAACCCCCCATCCTCACAAGAACAAGCAGCAAAATCCCACACGGAGGAGGTAACGGAAATGAAGGCTCACATTTCACGGCTCGAACAACAGCTCTCAGAGCTTAGGTTACTCATTCGGAATGATATGGTTCAGCTATCTACCTGAGCCAGTCCCTTTATCTAGCCGTCTTAGTACCCCAGGGTCCCATCACCATGACAGACACTCTATGGGCAAAAATATCTCTCTCCAACGGAGATTCCATGTTATTAGGTGTCATCTATCGCTCTCCAACCAGCGACCAGACAAAAGCACAGGCCCTTCTAAACCAACTTCGCTGTCTTCGATCCTGCTACCCCTCTACCTTATAACCGGCGAATTTAACGCTCCGGCTATTGACTGGGCTGGGACTAACTCCAGTGACATCTTCTTTCGTTATCCCCTTCTAGACCTTATTACTGAGGGCTCATGGCATTAACATGTATGCTCTCCCAGATGAGGTCCATCCTAGAATTCTCAAAGAGACAGCACCCGTGCTAGCCCCACATTA